CTGCTGTTGCTGTTTTTGTTGTAGGTGGTGCAGTGCTGCGGCGGCTCCTGATGCTATTGCTGTTGTTGCTGCTGTTGCTGTCGTTGCTGCTGCTTTTGTTGTAGATGGTGCAGCGCTGCTGCTGCTGCTGTTGCTGCTGCTGCTGCTGCTGCGGAGCAGGCCTGAGTTTCTTTTTTGTTTCTTTTTTGTTTTATTTCTTTTTTATTTTTATTTTATTTCTTTTTTATTTGCTAGGAAGCTTATTTGTTAGGAAAGCCTTTGCCAGATGTGGCGCCTAAGGTCGATGAGTCGCTTGAGAAACGCATTGCGCCCACTGACAATAGTAAACCCTAAACCCTAAACCCTAAACCCTAAACCCTTGATCCCTAGTTCGTGCTCCTAAACCCTTAAGTTTCGTGCTTGAACTTTGCTTCAGAAGCTCTGAGCTCTTCGCTGCATCACGCGCAAGTTGCTGCTTCTCTTCAGTTAGGGTTTAGGGTTCAGGGTTTAGGGTTTAGGGTTTAGGGTTTAGGGTTTAGGGTTTTGCTGCAGAAGCAGCACGTCTGCTGGTGCCCACTCAAGACCGCCTGCGAAAGCTGCGGGAAGATCCGCTGCTGCTTATCAAACACGCCGAGTTGGCTCAGCAGCAGGCCCTGGTACTAAACCCTAAACCCTAAACCCTAAACCCTAAACCCTAAACCCTAAGCCCTAAACACGGCGATGCCAAGTGCTACACGTGGCTGCGGATGGCGCTTTAAAGTACGCGTTTGGAATGCCCGTTCGAATTGCGCCGTCTGCTGCTGCTGGTACTGCTGCTGCTGTTGCTGGTGCTGCTGCTGCTGCTGCTGCTTGGGTTCAGGAAGCAAATCCCCTGTTGCAGCCGCGGGTGCAAGGGGGAGCTGCTGCTGCTGCTGCTGCTGGGCAGCAAAGAAGCAAAAAGGAATCTAAGAAGCACAAAAAGAAAAAGAAAAAAGAAAAAAGCCACAAACGCAAACACTCCAAATATAAAAGCCGAAGAAGCAGCAGCAGCAGCAGCAGCAGCAGCAGTGAGGACGAGGGCAGCAGCAGCAGCAGAAGAGTCAAACGCGAAGCCGTTAGAAGGTCTCGCTCCAGAAGCCGAGATAGAGACTGTGACCGAAACAGAGACAGAGCAGCAGCAGCAGCAGCAGCAGCAAACAAGGACAGGCGCAGCAGACCCAGCCGCTCAGGCGCAGAAGCGCGGGAGCTGTCCCCTTCTGCTGCTTCACAAAGCGGGAGCGGCTCCCC